TACCTTGAAGGTTGATAACTTTCACGGTTGCGTTTTGATCTCAGCCGATCTGTCAAGCCATAAATTGGCTGGTGTCATAACTCATCACATGTGCCACACCATGGCAATGTAGAATAAAGGCTAAGGAAGGTCATAGACTATGTGATTTTTCTTTTCCAGCAATGGTTGCAGTAAATAAAATCACTTGATTCCCCTATAAGCACAGTCAGTGTTTGATGGGGAAATCAAATCCCTCCTGCAAAGCTATTGTCTTCTCTCGGTGGGGGGGATGAGGAGAGAGCTGTCCCTGATGGGTAAATACAGTGATTATTGCTAGGTACAATCAGCCTGCCCATAGGTGGTTTGAATCTCAGCCAGTCCCTGCTGAACTGGCTGAGATTAGAACCATCTGTGGCCAACTTAACCTCCCTGGCGGTATGATTATTTCAGATTTTTGGTGCTGAAAGCGGTACCATTATTTTGCATGGAAATTTGGCATTTTATATTTTAGGCCTGTAATTCTTAGGAATAACTCACTGAAATCTGTCCGAACAAGAGTCTAGTAAACATCCCGGGTAGGATAAAACTTGAAACACCAAATCATAAATTATAATTTAATAAATAATCATAAAAAATAATATAATAATAATAATGAATTCAATAATATAATCAAACCAAAAACACTGAAATTTGAAATATAGCGCCAAGTTTGCACATCACTGAGCAAAGTCGCAGAATTGTTTTCAGTGTCTGATGACACTGGGATACCTTGGGCACACTTAGACATGAGATGGTTTATCAGAGTACCTGCCTGCTGCAATCATTCTTCAGAAGTGTCTGTGCACGCTTGTATTGCAGGTGGCTGGACCAGGTAATAATCATTCATATCTTCAGCTGTCAGATAAGAGTATGCATCTTAAGGAACAATTTCCTAAGCACGGTTTAATGGATGTTTTGGGGCATTGCTATGTGTTATCTGATTTATTGTCCACATTATTGGGCTTTAAGAGCTGCTAGTAGTGGCCTCATGTCCCTCTTTTTATTTATTTTTTTTTATTGTGGCTGTTTCATCTCTGTGACTGGTCTTAAAGTATAACTGAAGGTAATTTTTTTTTTGTTTTTGTTAAGTTTTGGATAGAGTGGAGGGGACCTCAGGTTTTTATTGCTGTCTGTGCCCCCCCCCCCCCCCCCCCCTCTTATTAGGGAGATTCACCTTCGCTACTGTAAAGTGAAAGAAAACCCTACATTTTGTCTGTCGGCAGAACAAGAACAGAGGTGAATCCTTCCAATGAGGACGCTAGTTCTGGTGACAATATAGGAATCCCTCACTTTGGAGGGATTTCCTCTCCCTTCCTGTTGGGCTTTGGGACAAGAAGTGAAAGGAAATCTCCCTAATGGGACAAGATGGCAAAAGAAAATAACACGTTATTAATGTATCCTTTAATGGAAAAAAAATTTGCCTTTAGGCTGTCAGTAGACTGTTCAAATCTTGGCCGGTTCAGTAGACCCAAGCCAAGATTTGAACCATGTATGGGCAGGCTGATTGTACCCAAGTTCATTGATCGATTACCTTGGATACAACCAGCATGTTGGATTTTTCATGCGATTATTGCCAGACAGTACAGCTGCTAGGAATACCCACTGTGCGTTCTCCTGGCAGGGACGGCTCTCCCTCCGGAGAACACAATAGCTCCACAGGTTGGATTCCCCAGTCAACACTGACTTTGGCCCGTGGTCGCAGGAAGGAAAATTGCACCATCTATGGCCGGCTTTGGTTCTACTGTAAAACTCCTGTACAGATCCACTTTAGGTTTTCATGGCCTGCGATGAGAATGTAGAGGTCATTGTTCCCAGCCCTCTCTCAAACATTAAAGATAGTATCGGCTGGATCATAGCTTTTGTCTTCGTGACATGTTTGTTTCTACAGACACAGCTGGGATCTCAGTATGACTGATGTTCCCTGTCACAGGTCATTAAATCACAGCCTTCTCTCCTATAGAAGAGCTCTGAGCCTGGCCAGACCCTGATAGCAAACAATAAAAAGGTTATCACCTGTGTACACTACCAGACTGAGGCGGATAAGCGCAGGGGGGCGGCTGCCATGCAGTAAATCACCTGTGTAGTTGGACTGTGATTGAAGCAGCTTTTCTCTGTTTAATGTGCTTCAGCTTTACTGCTGTGGAACCATAACATAGTACATGTCTACTGCTATCAAGGCCAGCATGGACTGAGCCAGAAGTGACCTTTTCTTATGGAGCTCTGCTAAGCACCAAATATCCCATGTGCCCAACTTGTGGCCCTCAGGGCCCCTTCAGATGGCAGTCTGTTCTGATGCTTACACACTATCATAATTTTTTTTTTTTTTTTTTTTTGTGCTGTCCATCCATTTTTACTCATTATGAGGGATCTTGCTGAGGGAGTTCTTAAAACCCAACTCCAAGCACAATAAACATACCAGATTTTAGGCAGTTTATGCATTGTTGCCTCAACAGCAATACAAGTATACAGAAAAGATCATGCCTGGAAGTCAACTTTAAGGAAAGAACCTTTCTGGGTCTTAGTCCTTGCTGGCTGTGTTGGAAATGGGCCCATTGGTAATGTCCCCTGGGCCATGCTTGAGGTCCCCTATATCAAACAGGTTGACCACCACTGCCATATGGCCTGTGTCAAAAGGCTTTTGTGCATTTCCATACAAGTCTATGACCATGCAAAACGGAGGTCAGCTGCAGGTTAAATGCACCTGACAATAAATTCTGAATGATCTCAAACATTTCAGACTGATGTCATCAATGCCAGCTATAAATATTGTAAAGCAGCCCTAAAGAGAGGGCACTTTATTCCATGCACACTCTAAGCTGAAGAAATGCCAGAAAAACGCTAATAGGCAATTTGTAAAGTGTTACTAAACCCACAACAGTAAAATCAGTCTGTATATGCAGTAAAGCATGCTTGTTATACTCACTCTGGAACCTAAGGGGTTAATCCTCTGCATTTTGTAAAAAGGCCGTTTTGATCCTGTTTTCAATGCAATGCCTCTTGCTCCAATATCCACCAGTTAAGACAGACTGAACCCGTAGCCACATGCACATGCTCAGTTTAGTGTGTATTGCTAGAGGTTTTTTTTTTCTTGGGAGAGTGCATGTGATCAGCACTGTCCAGACAGGGGGTCAGGGGTTCTGTATCCTCCTAGAGCAGAAAGAAAACTCCTCCTACAAGCTTTAACCAGTACTCTGCTGAACTCACAAGACTACTGCACACTGCTGATGAGAAAAGGTATTTAGCAGTTTATAT